ATGATTAAATAATCTTGCAAGGAGGCATAACAAACACTAATACTTGAAAAGACTAAATGGACTGAGTCTAAAGGAAGTATGGCTGTTGTGGTCATGTGTACAAAATTAAATAACTTGTGAATAGGTCTCCAAAAAAGAATTATCTGGAAGGTGGAATAACAATAATAAAATATGACGACTTGATAACAGAATGAGATATATTAACATAGTTTCCAGTCCATAATAGTTCGGTTATTAACCAATGCATAATTGTCCTTTCTTTTAGGAAGATTACACAGAGTGCCAATGGAATGCAAGACAAGGAACCATGGCCAGATAGATTCTCCATACTTGCCTCAAGCTGATGCAACTATTTGCTATGGGCCAGATTGTCCACAAAATTGAGAAAAATCAGAGCCAATATGTTAAAATCATGATCACAACTGCATCCTCCCTTTCTGACATTTTTATATCCAAAATGGCATGTCTGACCTGTACTCAAAACCTCTGTTAGTAAAACATGAACTTCCTCCCTCTTGTCCGGCTACCACTACTACTTGATTAGTAGTATTAGCATTTCTTCCAATTATTATTTTTAAACAAAAAGAATCTAATTGCTTCATTCAAACAATAGAAATATGAAGTAGGGAACAACAACCAAGTTAAGGGTAGGAAATTAAGAAAGAAAAGGGAAAGGAAAAAAAAAAAAACAGGCAAATAATTTTGGCTCAGACCCTAAGTATCAGTGCTGTTTGAGCCAGGGACTAAAAAAAGTCCCATGAGGCAAAGACACATCCATTTCTATAAACAAGAGCACACAAAACAGTGATGTGGGCAGCATTATGTCCACTCATATTTGACTTCCCAGCCCACATGACCAGGTACCCATATACAGGCAAGTCAAATGGATGCAGCAGTGGGCACAAGTCTGAAGAGAGGTTTTTGAACTCAGGTCTTCCAGAGCCATAGTCCCTCGACTTGAGGTCGATCTCTACCACAGCTCATTGATGGGTCTTGAATTAACTTAAGAGTCCAGTTCTTGAGCCACAAACCTTCTCCCTGCAGGGGAGAGTAGGCTGCAGCCTGGGATTTCTCTCCTTTTCCTTCCTCCACCCTCTCTTCTCTGCTTTGAGGGCAAGACGCTTTACCTCAAAATGGGCTGCCACACTGTTGAGGTTGCAGAGCCATTGGAATTGGTTGGCAGCCAGCTCCTGATGTCAGCATCCATTTTCTTGGGGTAACCTTTAGTATCTCCTTGCAGCATTTCCTCTGGCCACCATGAGATCTCAGACCGTTACTAAGCACTTTATTTAGAAGTCAGAGTCAGGTTACTTCACACACTGTCCAGTTCAGTGAAGTTGGTGCTTGAGGTTCACTAATTCAATTCTGGTAGCATTGGCTTCAGCAAGGATACTGACATTTTTGTGGCAATCTTCCCATTTGATGTGGAGGATTAATTAGAGGCACCATTAGAGATACCTCCCCAGGCTCTTGAGATAACTATGGTAGGTCACCCACATTTCACATCCATAGAAAAGGGAGAGGATGGTGATGACTGCATTGTAGACCTGGATCTTGGTGTCATTCTGGAGATTGCATAACTAAATACCTGCAGAAGCAACTTCCCAAAGCAGGCACTTGTGCACAAAATCCTGTACTAGATCACCTCCTCAATGTTCACTCTCTGAGAGAAGTGGTTACACCGAGGTAGGGAAAATACTGGACTACCTCCAGGGTTTTTCCCTTGATGGTAATTTGGGGAGGTAGTCACATTCATGGCCTGGAGCAAACTGATAGAGCACTTTAGACTTCTCAATATTGAGAGAGAAGCCCAAAGCTTGATAGGCTTCTCCATAAAGATCCAGCATGGTCAAATACTCTATTCTAAGCTTCCAACCTTGTATATGCTATTACAGATGTGCAAGGTATCTTATCTATCCTGTCTTATCTACTTTTTTGTTAATGATATGAATGATAGAACAGACAGCAAACTCATGAAAATGGAAGATGAACTGGATGAAACTGTGGACAGTAATAGAAATGAACCTAGAGGTTTGTTTCTGAAAAAGGTAAACTCTTACCACCTGGTCAGCTGAAGTAAATAGATCCTAAATAGGCAGTCAGTGGGAGGGAGACATGAAAGAAAATTAAGAGACTGAAAAATGTAGTACTGCATGAGTTATGGTAAAAAATAAATAAGTGCTCTTGAAAATAAGATCTGTATGCTGTTAGAAACTCTTAATAGACATGATGGAAACCCCAGAGTATTTCACGACTGGATTTAGTGAAGTACCAATCCTACAACAGGAAAATGCTGTGTTAGAAAGCTTATCTACAGGAAGTGGTGAGGGTTCTCAAAGAACTTCACTTTGCTCTGATTGTGCTGTCACTGAAGCAAAGGGAAAATTTCACCACTGATTTTCACTGGGAGAAAATAGGCCATTTTTAAAAATCCCACCCTCTATTCCTAGACTTTTTCCCCTTTGTGGGCCAAATTCTGTGCCAGCTGTCTCCTCTGTGATTGTTTGGATAGATTCTCAGGGCTGGTTAAGGGCTCAGTCTTTGCTCTGTGAGTGCAGAGCTGTTCTGCAGGGCTCACTCCACCCTGTTTGGGTACTGCTTAGATCTGAAGTCAGGTCCCTACCAAGGCTTTCAAGGCCAGGAAGGGAGAGCTTGTGTGTGCTGATAGGAGTGAGCTATCAATAGTAGGAGCAAGGAACCATGGGTTAGAGGAGCCCAGAGGAAGAAGAGGCAGAGTGGAGGGCTGCTGCTCCTGCTGGGGCCCCTAGCTGACTGGGGTACGAGTGGTAAAGAAGGCCTGGGCATACAGGTACGTAAGCAGATGCAGACTGCAAGCTGCCTTATGGGCATTCTACCACACCCAGCAAGAGGTAGAGGGAAAGTCATGCCCAGCAGTGTCACAGAAGCCAATGAGGACCAGGAGGACACTGAGCCTCCTGAAGGACCCCACCTGTCCAGGCCCAGTGTCAGGTTCAGCTGCAGCAAGCTCAGAACTGCAGCCACCCTAACCAGCTCTCTCTGCTACCTCAGCCCCTGAGCCTGGCCCTGGGCATAATCTGTGCCCAGCTAAAACCTGCAGGAGGAGGATTTGGCTGCTTTCTACTAGAGAAACTAAGGCAGGGTCATGGAGTAATCCCATCACTGCCCTGCCCTCTACCACTTAGGAACACAGTGGGGCTGGCAGGTACCTACCCTGTCTGTCCACTCCTGGACCTACCTTGGCCCTAGGTCATGCCAGCTTGTAACATCCAGGAGTAGTCAGACACTCCCTGCTGTGGAGCAGGGCAGCTCCTGTTCTGAGCTGGCAGGGCATGGGAACAGGTGCATACTGTACATGTGGGGTGTCAGGTGTCACTGTGCCCGCAGTGTTATAACCATGTTGTCTGCATCTCACATATATCTGTCTTGTCTGTATCTAGGTAACCCAGGTATAATGCAGAGCCATGTAGAGCCTATAGCTCATTCAGTTCTAGAAAATAGATATTCACATCATCTACATCTAGTGCATACCTACAGTCTGGATCTCAACTAGATCCATATAATCACTCTCTAAAATACATTTCATAGTTTATATCTATGTACCGTAGTCTAATTTGTATACATATGGCATATGCCTAGGTAGTCCATACCTAACATGTTTACCTAATCCAGTGTTTTTCAATTTTTTTTCATTTGCCAACCCTTAAAAACTTTGGAATGAAGGTGTGGACCTCCTTGGAAGTTTCAAGTGGACGTGCAGACCCTTCTGAATTGTAAGTGTGGGTATTCACATACATTGCACTGATCATAGTCACCTTTTGTGGACTCCTTAGACATAGTCTGCAGACTCCCCGCCACACGGGGAGGGGGCGGGTCTGTGGACTACAAGTTAAAAACCACTGATCTAGTCTCTAATGTATAGCCACAGTCTGTGTCTACTGTATCTCCACATTGTCTTCATCAAAAATAGCTCTACACAGCTCAGTTGATATTCATGTAGCAAATACCCAGAGAGGCTATATATATTTCTATGGTTTGTATCAAATGTAGACCCACATGATCTTGAACTATATTCTCTCTCATAGTTTGGTTTTAATATATACACACACCGCATAATTCATACCTAGATAGCATATATCCACAGTTCTGTCTGTTTATCCATCCATCTATATCTATAATGGACATTTCCCTTATACGCATCTAGACTTTTAGCCCACATAGTCTATATCTAATTGATGCTGGTACAACCTTCACCTATCTAGTCTCCTCCAATGTGTACCCCTCCGCTCTCAGCCCATGGAGTTCCTGTCTGATCTGCAGACACCAGGAAAGAATCAGGGTTTGCTCAGGGGTAAAAGCTTGCCCTCCCAAATGCCCACATCAGCTAAGCAAGTGCTGCACAAGGGCCCCCGTGGGCTGGGAGTCTGCTTCAAGGCCCGGATCCACAGGGGAGAAAGAGTGTGAGTGCCAAGCCCCAGGAGAGGCGGCAGGGGCCGAGAGCGAGGGGAGGGCAGGGCAGAGACCCCCTCCCAGCACACGGGCAGGAGGGCAAGCCGCTCCGGGGCTTGGCGTGGGGAGCACACAGAAAACTTTCTGCCTGCCCGGGCGTAGTCCGAGATCCCCACAGGCGGCGCCCCCGAGCCCGGCCCACGTGCTTCCCACGCCCCGCTGGAGCGGCCGGGGTTCGGTGGAAAGAATAAGGACCCAGGGGATACGCAGAAGGATCAGCGGGAATACTGGGGGGCAAAGAGGGGAGAAGAGCCCCGCTTGGTCCCTCCAGGTGTCTTCCAGCAGTTAAATAAATCCTAGGACAAATCGAATCAATACTTTGATTTGCAAATATCTAATACAAGATACCCCGCTCGCGCGACTTCCGATTCCCTTCGCCCCGTCCCCAGGGGCCGGGGGGAGGCTGCCCCAAACCCACCTGCCCGCCCGTGCCAGCCCCCCTGGCACCTCCCTCCCTCCGCCCCAGCCTCGAGCCTCCCTCCCGCCGCGGGCAGGGAGAGGAGGCAACTCACTTAAGAGACTGGCTTCGTGGGAGCCGTTGACTTTGCCATCCGGGTGCAGCTGGAGATGGAAGCCGATGCCCACCCTGCAGTAGAGGCTGCCGGTGCGGCGGCCCGAGGGGCTCCACTGGAAGGTGCCGCCGGGCGCGGGGACAGGGGCAGCCCGGGCGAGCCGCGCGTCGGGGCGGGCCGAGGCACCGGGGAGGAGGCGGCTGAGGACGAGGAGGCAGAGGACGGTGCGGCTCATCATCCTTGCAGCGGCCCGACTCCCCGGCGCATCTTGCCGCCTAGCCGCGCTCCGCAGGCAGGCCCCCCGCCGCGGGCTGCCGGCGCTGCTGGCACCGAGATATTTATAACGGAGCGAGTGAGCTCACTGCCAGGCGCACGCCCGCAGGGGAGGCCCCCCTCACCCGTGCCCGGCAGCCGCC